TTGTTATCTGAATTCCAACTTCAGACAACTTATAAAAAACTATTTTAACCAATCACAATATGCCAACTTTTTTTTTTTTTTACAATTTCGTAAATACTGCTAACCTTAAAATTTTTTATTTTCGGACTTCAACTTTTAGCTGAATTATAATTAAATTTCGCGGCATTTATTTATTATATTTTGTAGCATTAATTTCCAATAGTTTATTTTTTATTTTTTTATTTTCTTGCAGCTTTTTCAACGACTTCTGGTGCTGCATCAGTTAAATTAAGTGATTTTATTCATTTTCGTTTTCATCTATTTTTTCAGGTTTTTTTTTTTAAAAAACTTTAGACCGAAGTGACCAAACCTGAAAAAGCAAAAAATAATCATTCAATTAGAAGAACATGTTAAAATACATTCACTTTCTTTTAAAACAGCAGAAAGCAAGTAGAAAAGGAACTCCTACCTTTACGAGTTACCTGTATAATTATTCAATTTTGAAGCTGAAGACAAATTTTTAAATAAAATTACTTAAACTTTTTATAAATATTTTCAAATTTTAATTATAGAGTTAATTTTTTTTTATTATAATAGAGTAATAAAGAAAAATAAATAAAGAAACATTTAAAAATTATAAAAATTTTATTAAATAAAATAAATTGCTTATATATCAGATTACAATCATCAGGTGAGGTGCGTGATTTGAATCAATGATCATCTGAGATACCGCAGCTGTAATCTGAGGCAATCTAGTCAATTATAGTAAATGCGCATTTTTTTTTTAAATGTTTAAAATTGAATATCGCGTTACAGTTTTTTAAAGCACATGTTTTTTAGAATATTGTGTTATACATCTCATAATGGAATATACTTTTATTAGCAAAGATACTTTTAATGGAATAATTGAGCGTTATATAATAAGCCTTCCAGTTTCTAAACAAGAAAAGGCTTTAATTAATCTTGAACTTTTGGATAAAATTAAAAATGTGTTATTAAACCCAAAAGGTCATACTATTTGCAATAAAAATACACAAATTTGGATTAAAAAAAAATTCAAGCTTGAGGAAATAACGCCTGATGACTATAGAGTTATTGTAAAAGCAAATAATAATCTAGTATTAGTAGTTGAAAATATGTACAAAGTTTTATGCCGAACTCATGCTGAAGTTACACAACATGGAGGACAAAAACAAACTTGGAAATCACTTATAGAAAAGTGGGGTTGGATAAAGCAAAATATTGTAGAAAAATTTGTTAATAATTGTACAATATGTGCGATACGAAAACCATCATTTCATCCCTTAGCTGCAAAACCTATTATTGCAGGCGATTTTTTATCTCGTATTCAAGTAAATATCAATTTATTACTTTTTATAATAAGTATCATTTGTTATTTTAGAATATTTTAATTTTATATTATTTTTTTAATTTATTAATTTATTTATTTTTTTTAGATTGATCTTATTGATTTATCGTATGATGCTGATGGGAAATTTAAATATTTATTTACCGCTCAATCGCTGACATCATCAGGGTCACAGCTGCGCCGTAACACCTGATAATATCTCTGATTTCGCGGTAAATAACTAATACATATATCATGTACGAGATCATTTTACAAAATTTTCATGGGCTAAGACCCTCACTTCAAAAAGAGCAGTTGTAGTTGCTGTATATCTTTTCGATTTTTTTCATTTTATAGGATCCTTTCTAACTATATTACAACCAGACAATGGTAAGGAATTCTGTGCAGAAGTAATTAAGAAATTAATTGAATTATGGCCATTAATAAAGATTATAAATGGACTTCCTTGACATCCACAATCGCAAGGTCTAGTAAACGCACTAATGAAATTTTACAACAAAAATTAGAAAAGTGGAAAGAGGATACTGAACGAAATGATTGGTCTTTTGGTCTTAGATTTATTATTTTGGCTATGAATAATTCATAGTGTCGATCTCATAAAAAACTCTATATGGACTTGTTTATGGATCTAAACCACGTGGTAATTGTATATTAGTTGATAATTTATTTGAAAATAGTATTCGCGATGAAGAAAATATTTCAGATACTATACAAATATTTGATAATTATATTAAAAATTTAGATGATGATATAGTATTTGGACAAGGTTAGATTTTTTTATCATCTATTATTATTGAATAAGGCAAAAATATTTTAAAATTTAACAAGTTTAATTTAATTTATTTTTTTTTTTGATTTTTTAGTATTATTGACACCATTAGCATTATCAGTATCAGTGGTACTGTCAGCACCATTAGCACCATTAGCACCATCAAAATCATCAATATCCATTAATATTATTAGCACCATTAGCACTGACAGTACCATTAGTATCATTAGCACCATCAGTACAACCAATACAGTCAGTACCATTAGCACTATCGGCACAACTGGCACAATCAGTACTAGTAGTATCGTCAGTACTATTAGTACCATCAGCATAATCAGCACAATCAGTATTAGCGGTACCAGTTGTAAAATCAACAGGTATTTATAAATACTTTATTTTTATTTATTATTATACTTAAATTTTATTATTTTATTTACTATTAGTATTACAAACATTGGATATTATAATTAAATAAAGTATACTTTTTTTATTAACTGATTATTTAATTATAATTACATTTTAGATTTTCACTACTTTTTAATATTACAAATGAAATTACAATACCAGCTACAATTACAGAGAATGAAATTTTAAGAAGAACTGTTCGTTAAGATCTTAAGGATTATAAAAATAAAATGATAAACCAAATGAATAAAAAGAAAAAACAAATTATAGAATATCAGATTGGAGATCTTGTAAGAGTAGCTATTCCTAAAATTGATAGATTTAGTATTGATAATCCTACTATTCCATGTAGAATTATGAAAAAAATTGAAGATAAATATCAAGTTAGATCAAAGTTTAGAATAATTGAAGTTTGTTATTCTGCTGATGAGTTAGAACCACTTAGAACAACATTTTTTCCTGAACTAGAAAATATTCCTTCTGATAAAATATCAATAAGAGAAGCTTTACAGCTTCAAAGTGTTAGATTAATATCAAAGGGCTTATGTAACTGTAAAAGTGATTGTAATAATAACAAATGTCATTGCAAAAAATTGGGTAAAACATGTGAGAGTAGATGTTATAGCAGACGTTCATATCAAAACAAAGATCATAGCTAAATGTTTATTTTATTTCTGGATTGAAAAATAATAGAAAGTTGCATAATTGTATACCATTTTATATTTAGGTAAAATTTAATTTGCAAAATGTTAAGATTTAATATAAAAACAATTGAATAAAATAGAAAATTTACAATGTTTTTTTATGTTTTTTATATTTTTTGTGTATAATGATTTTATTAATTAAAATTTATTTTATAATTATAAAATTATATTTTTTATATTATATTATATTAAAGATCTTGTTTTTTTTTGTTTTTTTAAAAAAAAATTATAATTTTATTTTCAAAAAATAAAAACAAAAGTTTTTAAAAAATTGTTTAATACTTTATTCTCATAAAAATAAACTTTTTTTATGATTAACTAAATGCATATTTACTATTGACTAGATTATCTTAGATTACAGCTGCAATATCTTAGATGATCATTAATTTAAATCAATTGTAATTTGAGATGCATCAGTTATAATCTGAGGTAAAAATTAATCTGAAACACAATATATACAGATAAAAGATTCTTTATATTACTTAATTTTAATTTATAAATATATAATTTGTATAAAATTCAGATTTTATCTGAAGTTAAATTTCAGATAACTTAATTTTAGATGGTTTTGTATCTAAAATCCAAATTCTATTTGAAATTAAACTTTAAATAAAAACTCAATTTCAGATAGCCTTATATCTAAAATTCAGATACTATCTAAAGTTTAATTTCAGATATCTCAATTTCAGATAGCCTTGTATCTAAAATTCAGATTCTATCTAAAATTAAATTTTAGATATCTTAATTTTAAAAAACATTGTTTTTGAAATTCAAATTCTATTTGAAGTTTAATTTCAAATATTCTAATTTAAAGGCCTTATGTCTAAAATTCAAATTTTATCTGAAGCTCAATTTTAGATATCTTAATTTCAGATAATCTTATATCTAAAATTAGAATTTAACTGAAATTAAAATAGTTACATAAAAATTGATCAATAAGATCATGATTGAAATTAGAATTTCACCTAATAACTTATATTTTCAGTTGATCATAATTTTTATATATCAGCAGCTCAGTAAATTTCTCTAATATATTTAATTAATGTTTATTTTATTCTCATACTCCTTAAAAATTTGAAAACTTCTTTAAAAAAATAGTTTTTATAGCAAATTCAGAGCATCAAAATTATTAAGATTTATACATAGATAATAAAAAGGTATCTAAAATTGAAATTTTAATTTTAGTTAACTGATCTTTGAATCTCAATTTCAGATACTCAAAGATCGTCTGAATTCTAATTTCAGATAAAAATTAATTTTAGTTATAACAATTGTTGTAACTGAAATTAATAATTTGAAATTTTTTACGAAAAATTAACTTTAAAATATGATCAAATCGATTTATTAATTTTAAATTTACATATAATAGAAGAATTATAGTACTAATATATATAACTAAAATTTTAGTTTTATATTATCTTTAGCTATTGTTAGAATTTTTTTTCTCAAAATAATTCTTATACTTTCTTTTTATTTATTTTGCTCAGAAGTTGCCATTTCTTTACTAGCTCAAATATGTTAATATCATAATAAAGAATAAATTATCTTATTAATGAAGGTTAATATTTATAAAGTCTTTAATTTATCAAAGTAAATAGTTCATATTGATAATTATATTGCTGTCTTAGTCATATTTATAAATAAAAGATATTTATTTTTATATGATTACTGAGTATAGTAATATTGATTAGAACCTATAAAAAAGAAAAATAATAATTTTTTATATTAAAAGATTATAATTAAAAAAGAACTAACTTATTAATAAAAATAAAGATTTCATGAATAAATCATTCTTCTCATCTGATTTTAGAAATTAGATCTTATATTATATATAGCAAGTAAAGTATAAAAAAGGTCAGTATTATGATTAAAAAAAAATATAACTATTTCTTATTTTATTCCTAAATTAACAGAATTAAATTTAATAAAATAGAAAGATTTAATTCTAATAAACTATTGCTATTATTTGCTATGATCAATAATTAGAAAATATGATATTATAAAATTTTATTATATTATTATTAAAAATTTATTTATTTTATTATTTTTTTGGTATTTCATTTCTTGAATCACTTTATATAATAAAAGATTTCAAATATCTAGCTTAGAATATTTCACTAACTTTAATTATTTTTATATTAAAATAGATTCAGTATAACTATTAATTAAAAAATTGATAGATTAATATCATTTTAGACGATTATATTTTTATATTACATATTTTTCAAATAAGTTTTTTAAAATCTTCTTACAAATTTATAACTTTAATAGCAAAAATATATGTATTTTATAAGAGGAAAAAGATTTATTAATTTTTAGAGTATATTATTCAATTAGATTTTACGTAAAATACAAAAAATTGATTTTTAAATAAAAAAATAAATTTTTATATTATAAAAATTTTATAGTAAAAAGTTCTTAGTAAATGCTTTAAACTTAAATACAATTTATTAGAAATAACAACTTTAATTAAGATTAATAATTTATTTTTTTCTTTAAATGATATCATTTAAACTAAATAGATAATATTAATAAAAAGTATTAAAAATATTTAAAAGTTTATTAGATAATAAGAAAATAGCAGTGATAAATATATTTTCACAATTTAAAATTAATATATTATAAAGAGAATAAAATAAAATTTTTCTTATTTTAAATTATAAACTATATAGAAAAGAAGAAAATAATCATTAGAAAAGAGAATTTCTTATATAATATTATAGATAATGATGAAAATTTAAATATATTTTAAGACTTTTCTTAAATAAATTTAATATTATTAACAGAAAAATTATATATATTAAAATAGTCTATTTATTAATAAAATAAATTTAATATTCTATTATATTAAATTAATATACTAATTTAATAAAATATAAAATATCTGTAATAAAAATATTAATTTAATATTAATTTTTATTTAATAAAAAAAAAATCTATAAAAATAAAAAATAAAATAAAAAATCTTTTAATCAAAACAACAAATTTTTAGAATCAAAGATACATTTATATGAAGAAAGGAAGGGTTTATTAAATTTTTTTTAAAAAATAAAAAGAAAACTAATATTTATTTTTTGTAATTTTCAAAATTCTTTAAACCTTAAAATCAAAAATAAGTTTTTATATAATTAGAAAAATATTAAAATTTTTTTAAACTTAAAAAGCAAACTAATTAATAATTATTATTTTGTAAATTTTGAAACCTTTAAATTATAAAATCCTTAGATTAAGGGTAAATTTTATTATAAAAATTTTCAATTAAATTTTTTTTTAATTTTAAAAAAATATTAACATTAGCTTATTTTGTAGATTGATCTAGAACTTTTAAATAAAATTCTTAGATTTAAAATTAAATCATATATCATATTATAAAAATTTTTTAATTAAATTTTTTTTTAAATTTTAAAAAAAATATTAATATTAATTTACCTTATGGATTAATCTAAAATTTTTTAAACAGTAAAATTCTTGAATTAAGAAATAAATCATATTGCAAAAGTTTTGAATTAAAAAATTTTTAAAAAAAACTAATATTAATTATTTTATAAAACTTTAAACTTTGAGTAAAAATTTTTAATTAAAATTTTTTTTGAATTTAAGATTATCTGATTTAAAATAAATTATAACTATATAATTAATTTATATATTAAAATGTATCATTATTATTTAAAATAAAATTTAATTATATATCTAAACTAAAGATAAAATCAGATATTTTATTACTAATTGAAAGGAATATTTTATTAATATTCTTTTTATTTTATAGATTAAACTTTCAAAATAATTTTAAAAGATAATTAAGATAAAATATTAGATTTTTTATTAATTATAAGGAATATTTATTAATATTCTTTTTTATACAAATTATACCTTTGAAAAATTTTTTATTTATA